GTTGTTCAAATATGTTTTTACATTTTCTGGCATTGGACTTACAAATGAATCGTAGCTGGTAATGTTATACTCCCTTTCAAAAATTCCCAACACCCAATGACCTTGTATGTAACTTCCATACGAGATATGAACTGGTAATATTACCATTTAAAAACCATAATAGCCGTAAAAAATGCAGGTATTGATGAAGTGAAAACTTGGAGTTTAGTGCAGCTACATCTTTTACGCTTTTTTTCTAATATTCACACAAATTCACATAAAAAATCTCCTGTATGCATTTTTATTCGTTAGTCTAATCCTAATACAAGATCAATCTCAACTCCGAAAATTGACATTAAAATCTTATACAACTATATTTGATTCTTCCCTGGATTTGCTTAAAACGTCCATACTTTCTCTCCTAATTTTTGAAGTCATTAAAGCACAAACTCAGTCTAATTTGCGTTCAATTCTACTGCTGGAATTACTATATTTACCGTTTTATATGCAAGCGCATTTCGCCGCTATCAAAAGAGATTCTACAATTTCATACTTTTAATAGCAAAAAATAATTTTTAAAATAGTATTAATTGAAGTGATATTATAGATTGATTAATTAAATAATAATAATTACTTATTTATAATAAATAATTATTCAATTAAATAATAATAAATAATATCTATGTACAATTAGCATAAGTATAAAAAATACAATAGTATTAGTATATTCTTCAATGAGCTTAGAATGATATTGTTCACGAGTTGATGTTTACGACACGAGTGACGTAGGAGCGAGTGTCGGATTGTCTTCGAGTTAATAATAGGCATTATATTTCTCTACGACCTTGAATTATTCAAAACAGATTTTGAAGAGATTTTGTTTTATTTGAAACTCAAGTGTAAGGATTAAGAGTAAGTTTCTAGTTTTACTTCATTGTCTATATGTAATGTTCTTCTTAACATTGAGTAAATCTTCCATAAACTAGAATGTTGTTGTTGAGAAAGTTTTGTAAACTAAGGTCAGAAAACATTATCGCCAACGAATTCACCTTATTACTTTTTCTCCATTACATAATTCTATATTATTGTTCATAATACTTTCTTGATTTCTCTGGCAATAATTGTGGTTGTCTAATTCGCCCTTTTCTAAATTTTAAGTGGAGTACTGTCACTGGCTTCAATATTCATTTTCTGTTGAATGATCAATTCGAAATGTAACGAGAAATACGAGTACAATAATGTTTGTGCATGAAACAGCGACATCACACTTGTCAATCGCAGTTCAAAAGAAGCGCGAATTGCACAGAAAATGCAATTCTGCCCATGGATTCCGAAAAATCTGGGAATGTGACTGGTCGACAGGTTGTGGATTCCGAAGTGAAATCCACGGGGCGTGTAATCAATGTCATTTGTCGATAGCAGGAATACTTATATTATTAAATGGTCATAGAGAAATAAAAAGTTACAAAGGCACGTTTCGAACTTTCAAACTTGATGTCTTTCATGATTCTTTCTAAATCAATATTGTTGATTGAAGATTTCATTTTCATTTGAAATCATTGATTTATATGTTAATTTTTCTTGTGACATGGTTGATTGTAGGAAGTTTTTAATAATTTTCAATTTTGAAAATGATATTTCTCCGGTGCCAACTGTATCAGGCAAAGTTAAAAAATGGTAATATCACAGTAATGATAGGGAATGACCCAGTCAGTTTATTTTAATACATACATTCTAATACTTCATTTGGAGGTGATTTTAATTTGAGAAATTTCGCGATTATATTTAGTTCATCTCATAGTGCATACTATTGCTTTTAAATCCATTGAACTAGCTGTATCAGTTCTATCGGTCAGTTTTAATTCTAGATCCAAACAATTTTTTAATGTATTTGATTTATTCATTTCTGCTACTTTGGCCCCCTTGTCCTATTTGTCCCATTTGTCCGCCTGTTCCATTTTGTCCTCTGTCCCATTTGGTCCCCTTGTCTCATTTTGTCTACCCTTGTCCCACTTTATTCCTCCATTTTGTCTCCACATTTTCCATTTTGTCTCTTGCCCCATTTTGTCCCGTTTGTCTCACGCTCATTGTATAATTGTCCCTTTCCCCATTTTGATCCTTTCTCACCCTTTTCCAATTTTGTCCGTTGTCTCATTTTGTCCCTATGCCCTCTTCGTCCTCCTTTCCCAGCTTTCTCCCGCTTCTCCTTATTTGTCCCCCTTCCGTCATTTTGGTCCTTCCGCGCACTGCGATTGATATTTAAAAACGGTACCAAGACGCTGTCCCAACAACCCTTGCTACAGAACATCGAGAGTGATGACAATTCATAACCCATGAAAATGTTAAATGTTTATTTTGAATAACCAGACATTTCATGTAACACGTCCTCTATTAGTGTTTAATAAGTGATTTAGAGGACTTGTAACATAAATAACTATTTGACCGAGAATTCACCGCTTCCCTCTGCAACAGTACAATATTTTCGATGCTGCGTAAGCAGTAGCGGGAAAGGAAAAGGAAGAAAAAATAATTCTGCTGAAAGTTTTAAACAGTTGTACAATGTGCAAGAAGAACATTGAATTCAATGAAATAAGTTAGATCATAATATGGACGTAATAATATTTCTGCAGTGATTCTTAGTGTAGATACCATTTATAATAATGAACTCTGCAAATTATAATATATTATCATTATTTCGTATATTCGACCTGACTACTATTCGTCGAGACATCACAGCTTTTCGTAAACTTGCTCAGGTTCAGGGGAGAATGGCTCCGGTGTCTCTCTTGCCCAGGGCTCTGTCATTGCTCCTTCATTAATGCCCTTTCTCCTTGAGCGTTTCCTTTCATGCATTCTGCATGCGATTTGCGTCACACAAGTCGCGCTCAGGGCAGCGAAGCGAACCCTCCCATTAGAAATTATGATGTCCTTGACCCCAGGCCATGACGCGTGCGTTTCATGTTACGCTGCTGACGTCTATTGTGAGTCTACAGGCGCCTTCTATTCATAAACATTCATATCTAAAAAAACTACTGCCTAATATTTTAGCGAATTTCCATTTGTATGCAAAACGCATTTATTTTACGTTATGAAATATAAACCTTCTGAATCACGTTCCGTGACTTGGGGGCCGTTTGATCATGCTATACATATCTTTGTGTGTAGTAGTGTGTAACATGTGGTGTAGCCAGAATCCGTAGTTTGTGGGTCCTTGATACCAAAAAACCAATTGTCGGGGAATTTCCGTCCGTCTGTCCGTACCGTCTTAATGTCTGTGAAAGCCACTAGCATCTAAACCATACATAGGATTTTTTCAAAATTGAAGAAACCCCTGTCCATCTAGCTTGTGCCAAAACTTTGAGATTTGGAAAAAAAATCCTTAAAATTTGGGGGTTCTTAACATAAACATGGAACATTTTCAAAATTTTCACAAAAACGACTCCAAATTTTTTCTTTAAATTTCTTGTAAGAATTGAGTGAAATACACTTATAAAGGTGTTGTTGGTCCTATTTCACTGTTTATTCTGAATTTTTGGAAATTTCAAAAGTATGAAATTTTTTCGGTGTCTTCCTACAACTACATAATTAAAAATAGAGAATTTTTCTTCAAAGAAGGTTGTTACTCATAATTAGTTCTGTTACTAAGGTCATGTTAATTTTTTTGAAAACTTTAGTAGTTTTCGCGCAATTTTGCGTGCAATATTTGCAATTTTAAAAGTTATCAAATTACAATTTTTTAAAAAACGGCTCCAAATTTTTTCTTTAAACTTTTGCTTGGGATAGTGATAAATCGTGACATGTTAATCGTGCAAATAGGACTTATGCCACTTTTATAAGTGTATGTACCCCTATTCTTAACATAAATTTAAAGAAAAAAATTGAAGCCGTTTTTGAAACATCATCCTAAATGGCAATTTGCATTGATAAATTTGGCGCCGTTCTTAAGAAAATGGTGTTTAAGCGTTACGGTACATGCGAATTACGAAGCTCTTTTTCACACAATATTTTTGGGTTTTCCAAAAACTTCATTAGAAGTGAATTCAAGCACTTTAACTCACAAATTCAATAGTGCTTACAAATCGCTGGAAATGTGCATATTAATAGCGTGAGAGATATTTAAAAAAATTACATTTCTGTAATTAAAAAAAAACAAAAGAAGAAGACAGCAAGATGAATTTTATTTTCTTAAACAGTCAAATTATCACTCTCTGTACAAAAAATTTGAAGATAAAATTTGGAGCCTTTTTCGAGAAAATTGCGATTGAGCATTTCTGAAAATGTGGAATTTTGAGCTCATTTTCGTAGAAAACTGTGGCGATTTCGAGAAACTTTATATACCATTTAAAGCACATGTACTCCTAAATGCAATATAATATAATTCGCCGCTAATATAATATTAACAAGATGCTAGTAAATAAAATGAACACTCTTAATTCTTGAAAAAACAACAAAAGAATAGAGCAATATGTCGTTTATGTCATCTTACAGGGTAAATTTAGCAACATCTCTACCAAAAGTTTAAAGAAATAATTAGGGACTGTTTTTGAGAAAATCATGCTTTTGTTATTTTTTTTATTATTGCACAATATAGCGAGAAAATTACTAGAATTTATTTACTTTATTTGAAGGAAAAATCATTCAATTTTGTAATTGTCAGAAGATGGGGGAGAAAATCAAACTTTTGCAGTTCTCGAAAATTCAGAATTAACCTTGAATATTGGATTGATGCCACATTTATAAGTGTGCTTTACTCTATTCGTACAAGAAATTTAAGAGTAACTATGGAACCGTTTGTGAGAAAATTTTGAAAATGCCCTCAGGGCTTGATGTGAAGTAACCCAAATTTTAAAGAATGTTTTTCAAAACCTCAAAGATTTGACTCAAGCCAGATCGATGGCTGTTTCTTCAAATTGAAAAAAAATCCTATGTATGGTTTAGGTGCTAGTGGTGTTCACAGACGGATGGATGGAAAAACAGACAGAGTGACGCTTTGGCTGAATTTATTTACTTCTGTCAAAAATCCTCAGTCTTTTGCGCAGCATTACATAACCTTCTCTATACTACATATATTACTCCGTATATACGTACGCATACAAGAAAGTAAAACTATGTGCCACAAATGGAGCCTTTTTAGTCACATGTCTTAATGTCTGATTTCATTTGCGTATTTTGGGGCTAGGCGACAATGTTTTTTTTTCCTGGTTTGACTGTTATGTTTCATGAGTGTACCATAGCACCAAAACTCATCACCAGTAATAAGCTTTAAAAACATCTTGCTGCCACCTAAGTGTGGTAGCGAAGTTGTTTTGTTATTTTATCTTGTGAGCAATAAAGTGTTGCAGTAAAACATGTATAAAGTATGAGTGAATTTGTTTAATGATTGATTTTGTAACCATGTTGAGTTCTTAAAAACAATAAGCTGTTCATACCATTTTAATATTAAAGATGTGAATTGCAGTGCATCATGTGTTCATACACACTTTGGAATTTGTGAAATTATTGGAAGATTTGTAGCTAAAAGAGAAAGCAGAAAAGACTTTCAATGTAGGAGCATAGGTGTTGATATATGCATATGCGTGAAGGCAATTACTCAAAGGTAGGTCTATGTAGGGAGCATATAAATTAGCTCATAAAATAAAGTACTTTAACTTTAGTATACATGTTATAATTTTTAAAATAATAACTAGTTGGAGTTCTCATAGTGTGGTGAACTCATAGTGTATGTTCCATGAGCAAATCATGACTGTGACTTCTTGTGTTGGTAGTGTTGTGCCTAATGTATGAGGATGGTGTCGATGTCTGTACACACTTGTTTGATCTTTCTCAACTATGTTAATGCACAGTCACAAATATATGATTATCTTTGTTTGTGTGTGGTTGCATGTGTGAGTGTGTGCGTGTGTGGTGTGGTGTGTGCACATATTCAACTTGTGTGCTTCCTTATCACTGCCTCACTATCACTTTGAAAATTACATTTTTTTGTTGCTAATTACATTTTCTGTGACGATTGGGGAAATGTGATTTCATGATTCCCCTTCTTGTGATAGTGAACCCCCCTACGCTTAAGACCACACATCACCACTGCTGTTATGCCAATACATTTATTACAGATAAATAACAAAAGTAAATACCAGAGATAACAAAAATATTAAAGTTACAAAAGAAGTCTAAGAAAACCGTGAATAGCGATAGGAAGTGACTAAAGAAAACCTTCCATATATTTACAAAATAATTTCTTTTAATGTTATTTGTATGTACAAAAATGTTAAAACAATAAATTATTTTCTTGATTTTGTTTTTTTCTTTGATTTTGTATTTGCTTCGGCAGTCTTCTTCTGTTCCAACTTGTCCAAAGTTCGGAAGACTTGTTTCCGAAGTTCCTTTCGACGTTTTAGCATTCTCATTTCTTCTTTTTCCAATAATTTTTTCCTTTCTGCCTTCTTTTCAGTCACTGCAGACTTATCCTGTCGCTGCTTTGCATTATAAGCAACTTTCAATGCTTTTATGAGATGAGCAACCTATAAAAAATAAAACCAATTAACTGATGATGATGATGACAACAACAACAACAATTTTTGTTTGACAACTTTTGCTGGAACCCTTACTGATACATAACCTTGCACATTTCAGAAATGTAATTAACAGAGGAGAATCACTCTCTATATCACATTCTATCAAATAATATAATGCTTCAAAATAAGTAACAAAAACTACAAAATAATAGTGATAATATATTGCAGCTGTGAAACTGAACAGTGATACCAAGTGCATGTATAATGGATAATGAGAACTATTTTTGTAATACCCTCAGCTCAATAAACCTTAAATAAACAAATAAATAAAAAGAATGAACAAATCCTACCAAGATTGTACCACATAAGATCAATATACAAAGAGCAGCAGCAGCATTAAAAATTCAAGGAGTTAGTTCCTCATTAAAATTTGGACTTTTCTAATGCTAATCTATCTATTTATGAATGACGTAACTTCCATTTCCTTCAGAGCACACATTGTACAATATGGTACCCAAACATGTGAACTTCATATTTCCTTTAAATTTTAAACAAGCAAGGTACAAAGCTCTTCTCTTTGCTTTGCACAATTCATATTAATTGCCTGTGTTCTTATTTCTTTCTTTTCCAAATTATCCAGAAAGGGCGGAGAACTAGAGCTGTCCATTGAATGACGAGAAATGTGTCTTACATGATTACATGAAGGGGAAAAAAGAATTAACCCTAGGAACTCCACTAAAATTGAGATGGCCTAACAGATGCTCTCACAAGGACAGGAGTGATAATGTTTAACTGAAAATGGTGTAGGCAAGTAACTACTACTATTAAAAACAAGCCCACTCCATACATAAATCAGGAAAATTTCTCCATTCTAGATTCTGAATTGGTTAAGCAAATATACATGTTGTACATGCCATCAGTCTATGGGTATGTATGGTTTTCATTCTCTGTTATAAAGAGGACATTGAAAATGGACAAAAAGTTTCCCCAGCATAAAGCAACAAAAAATACTAAGAGACTCAAGCACTTTCAATATCCATGAAGTCTCTGTAATCAGACCAACACAAAATCATGAATGGATCACATTATATTCATTGAAACTACTATTATGCCATTACATTTAAAGATACATGTAAATCAAGCTCTGAATTTTTTATCATCAGACCAACTGGTTTGGTATTAGGATCTCTTCAATAACTATAATTAAACACAACAAAAAAACTGATGACGATTTTTAAAACTCTCATGAAATGTTTAAAGCGTTTTAACAGTAAAATACTGTTTTCTTAATATTGCAAACCTCTGTAAACAAAACATATATATATAT